TCCTAGTCATCGCAGGGATTTTCTCTCCTGCAGAAGTTCCCACAGTCTCAGCCTCAGGTCACCTTTTCTGACCTTCTAAAGGAAGAAAATCCAAATGGAGAAGCCATCAAGTGGTCATCTAATTACCGAAACCTTTTCTAGTATGTAACCTGGGTCACCAGCAAAACGAGAAGCACTTTTTTTCCTAAGAAACTTGAATGAGTGCATTGTCTTCTACTTGACTGGCTTCTTTTGACTATAACAAATTCATGTTGCGTTTATCTGTCAGTGTATATTAGCTACACGATATACATATTATGAGCACTTAACAAGAAATGCAAAACTAGATTTATTTAAGAGATTTCATATATTGTCCCTGATGTGGCCATAATGTCCCTAACTCAAGAAGAAGAGGGTTAAATACCTTCTTGTCCGTCTGAGGCGTTTTCAAGGAAAAATATCCTAGTAGGTCCACAAACTGGGCAGCCTTACGGCCATAAGCTGGGAGTTCTGGCCATATAGACCACATCAGATCTAGCAGGAGCTCTTGTTGAGATTTGCTGGAGTTTCTGCAGAAAAATGACATAAAAATTATTGAGTTGTATATTTAAAATAGGTAAATTCTGTGGTATGTAAATTATACCTCAATAAAGTTAAAACAGGAAAATAAGGAATAGTCCCTAATATGCTAGGGAAACAATAAACTGTCAATTCAACCAATGTCCCCTCTCTCCCTTCTTTGGGGAAATTTATTCTCTCATGAGAGAGGGGCACAGAATGAGACAAGCACTCCCATCCTTAGCCTTCCCAGCCAACAGGACCACAGGGTAACAGGCCCAGAGTCTCCAGAACCGAACCATGAACTTCCACCATACGTAACTAGTACCTGAGGGGTGTGCTACCCCTGCTCCACTGTGGCTGGTCCCCAACATCCTCTATTTTTTTTTAGAGGTTTTTGCTATAGGGCGCATACACTCGCCAGACAGAGACAGAGAGACAGAAAGCGAGAAATCACCCCCCAGGGGAATAGCCACGCTGCAATCCCTTCTCCTCCATTCTCCTTTTGGGCACACACGCACACATGCCCGGCATGACTTTAAGCCACCGGGTCAGGGACGCAAACTGCGGTCGACTACATGGGAGTCCAACGACATAGCCATTACGCTAACTGCTGGTCCCCCCAACATCCTCTTTAAAAAAAAAAGTTTCAAGGTAGACGATTTCTATAAATGTGTTTTATTTTACTTAGACTTAAACCCTTGAAACCAGAGACCTCCTTCTATTACTGCATAGCAAACCTTAAATTCAGAATTGCATTTTGAATATCTTCTGTGTGCAAGGCCCTGGACTACACGGGAGAGATTCAAAGATCAAACAGGCGGGTTCACTGTTCTCTGAAGGGCTTAACAGTTCACACGTGAGAGCCTGTCAACATCCACGAGCTACCCAACATGCTGACTGAATTCAAACAGACGAAAGGCAAAACGAAGCTCACTTATAAATGTTGGAGTTGGGATGGTTGGTAAGAATATGGTTTTGAGTCCGCAGAATCTCCACAGCTTTCTGTGAATACTCCTTCAACTAAAAAAGAATTCAGTGAAGAAAAGTAGTTAAGGCCCCAGGAAAAGTCTTACTGGAAAAGACTTCTGTCCTCTTTCCTAGCTGGGGATTGCCCCAGTAGTACCAGACTGTGGTTCCGATTCAGAATCATTCAGAGTGGGTCTGACTCCTAGTCATCGCAGGGATTTTCTCTCCTGCAGAAGTTCCCACAGTCTCAGCCTCAGGTCACCTTTTCTGACCTTCTAAAGGAAGAAAATCCAAATGGAGAAGCCATCAAGTGGTCATCTAATTACCGAAACCTTTTCTAGTATGTAACCTGGGTCACCAGCAAAACGAGAAGCACTTTTTTTCCTAAGAAACTTGAATGAGTGCATTGTCTTCTACTTGACTGGCTTCTTTTGACTATAACAAATTCATGTTGCGTTTATCTGTCAGTGTATATTAGCTACACGATATACATATTATGAGCACTTAACAAGAAATGCAAAACTAGATTTATTTAAGAGATTTCATATATTGTCCCTGATGTGGCCATAATGTCCCTAACTCAAGAAGAAGAGGGTTAAATACCTTCTTGTCCGTCTGAGGCGTTTTCAAGGAAAAATATCCTAGTAGGTCCACAAACTGGGCAGCCTTACGGCCATAAGCTGGGAGTTCTGGCCATATAGACCACATCAGATCTAGCAGGAGCTCTTGTTGAGATTTGCTGGAGTTTCTGCAGAAAAATGACATCTCACATTACTAAACAGCAGAAAACCCTGGGCACTGTTATTTATCACCACGGGTCAGGTATTGTTTTTGTAGAGGTATCTATTTCCCTAC